AAATTCAGAATCGGACATCTCTAATATTGACAACGTCTGCTGCAAACGTTTTGCTGCAGACATAAAATAGCGGCTAGCGGCCCATGGTTATATAATCAAAGGTCGGATTTGGATGTCTGAACACAGCCGATGGTCCAGTGAGGAGAATTTATAGCGATTTCGGTAACTTACACTAGTGCGCACTGAGTGCGCGCTAAAGTACGTATCAGACAGGAGCATTCCGTATCAGACTATAGATTAAGATTGAGATTGAATTGAAAATTGGCCAATCAGAGCAAAGTTCACCTTGAACTTAGTGAAGTTTATCTTCAGATAATGAACGGATTATTTCATTGGTTACGAAGTATCTGAAGATGAACTTAAACAGTCTTATAGCGAATTCGGTTGCTTGCACTAGTGTGCACTGAGTGCGCACTAAGGCTTGTTCATAGTATGTTATTATATTTAAAGATTGTTTTAAATAATTCTCAAATAAATTCTCAAATATTTTTAACCATAATATGATATGTATAACATCCGTACGAATCATTTTATTAGTTAAAATGTTTTTAAATATGTATTTAAGACATGATCTTAAATATAAGAATGTACTGTAAACAAGCCTTAATGCGCACTCAGTGCGCACTAGTGCAAGCTACCGAATTCGCTATTAAAAATAAGACCCGACTATGAATACCGGCTTAAATTTCATTTCAATCTCAATCCTAATCTATAGTTTGATACGGGCTTAAGGCTTATTTGCAGTACATTCTTATATTTAAGATCGTGTTCTAAATACATATTTAAAAACATTTTAGCAAATAAAATTATTAAAAATATTTTAGCAAATAAAATTATTTGTACCGATGTTATACATATCATATTACTAATTAAAAATATTTGAAAATTTATACAATAAGACAATCTTTACATATATTAACATACTATAGCCGGTATTCATAGTCAGATCTTATATTTAAAACCATCTTAAGTTATCTTCAGATAATAAACGGATTATTTCATTGGTTACGGAGTATCTGAAGATGAACTTAAGACAATCTTAAAAATAAAACCCAACTATGAATACCGGCCTATGAACAAGCTACTGAGTGCGCACTAGTGCAAACAATCGAATTCGCTATCAATCTCAAAAAATAAATTCTTTTATTGAACCATCGGCTGTGTTCCGACAAACGACAGCGACATACAGCGTATTGTGTTCCAGGTTTAAGGGTGCGTTCCCACTTAGCGCATCACGTGTCGCGTCGTCCTTCGCGGATTAATGGGTGCGTTCAGCGAACTCAACAGTTGCACAACAGTTGAGTAATTCGTCAATGTAATTGGTTTAGATTTAGAGATCTAACAGTAAGAACCAATAATCGCTGATTGCTCACTGAGCGCTTTTTCCGCTGAACGCACCCAATCAAATCGCCCCATTTTATTCGTCGTAAAGTTAGGCAATAAAATGGGACGTTTTGATTGGTCCGCGTCGTGTCATCCTTCGCAGACCAATCAAATCGTCCCATTTTATTCGTCGTAAAATTAGGCAATAAAATGGGACGATTTGATTGGTCCGCGAAGGACGACGCGATGCGTGACGCGCTAAGTGGGAACTCAACTTAAGGGCTGCTCAGATTTTTCATTTGGGTGCACTCTATCCGGATACTAGAAACACTACAGTATATATTACATATACTATAGCACTTCATAGTAAGCAATAGCTGCGTTCAGTAGAGAAAGCTGTTTTGCAACTGTTGTAAAATTTTTGAATCTGATTGGAATATGCTCTTAATTTGGGTTGAGTCAAAGAGGGTGTACCAATCAGATTCACGAATTTTACAACAATTGCAAAGCAGCTTTCTCTGCTGAACGCAGCCAATCTAAACGCACCCAAGGGTATGAGTAAAATGTACAAATACTTATAAGTATTTTTCGGATTATTATTCCTGATCTACAATAGATGTAGTAAGCTTTAAGCCGTAAGAAATTAACCAATCACAATTGATTATTCCTTTATAATTCCACTGTGATTAGTCAATTTCTTAATGCTTAAAGCTTACTACACCTATTGTAAATCAGGGTCTCTATTCTTGAAATAGTTGCGCATACGTAAGTTTTACTGCGTAGGTTTAATCATATTATAAAATAGCTGCACAATGAAAATTACGTATACGCAAAAATTTTAAGAATAAGGGCCCTGGTCTTAGAATAGGGAAAGAGAGATGAATTGTTCATAGATATTTATTTATTTACTAAAAGTAAATAAGTATGACTTTATTTAGCTTAAAAGATCTTAAATCTTTGTGAACTTTTGTGAAGCGCTTAGTCTATGTATATATAAGTTTATGTCTTATATCCACTCTCTTTCTCTCTCTCTCTCTCTCTCTCTCTCTCTCTCTCTCTCTCTCTCTCTCT